TTGGGACGACATGAGGGAGAGTCATTAATGACATCATTTTCATTTTTGGGTGAACTAACTCTTTAACTAATACTGCAATAAAATACCAGTAAACCCGAGAGATAACATCACTAAACTTAACTGTATTCACCAGAGCAGCTATATATACTTTAATTAAATTAAATTAACTTTTTATAACAAAAATGAACAATCACTGAACTTAAGCTAGACTATGACTCTATTTTCTTCTAGAACTGCTGTATAGCAGAAACAAACCCTGTTGCATAATTTTTCTGTTATCACTGTAAAGCTTTGAAACAATCAGTATTGTAAATAGTGCTATATAAATAAAGGTGACTTGACGTGACTTAACATGTAGTTGAAACAAATTTATAGAAACTTCTAGCGTTCTTTTATATTAGACTACTAGTGAACATACTGTACTGTACCAGTAAACTGGACTTTATATGGCTATAGCAAACTTGACTAATACTGCTGTAGATAACTTGTATACCGGAAAGATAATGCATCACTAAACTTAACATACTGTCAACAAAATGACTTCACACTACAATAGTAGACTACTAGTGAAGGTCCTCTGCCAGTGACTTTATATGATTATAGAGCACTTGACTAATACTGTTGGTGAACATACTGTTGAAACAATCATAGCAGAAACTGTACCAGTCTCTGTCCATCATGGCCTTTACCAATAGTAAACTTGACAAATGCTGTTGTAGGAAACTACCTGTGGTAAACTAGAAGTAAACTTTAAAGATACCATACCGGTAATTTTCACTGAAGTAAACTTCAATCCCAAAACCTCTATATTTTTGTGACAATGACCACTGGTTTGTGAACTTTGCATGTCTCTGACATCTATTAATGCATTTCATTATTAATGCACATACATGATTGTCTCCATAACCTTGATGAGCGAGTAAGCCACAATATTCTAGAGAATAAACCCATGAGCTTTTGCTATGAATAATACAATAAGCTGTTATGGCTTGAAGCAGGTAATGAATACTTCATGATTGGTACGGGAAGTTACAAACGTCTGTCTGCTTAAACATCATCCTCTGGCAGCGGCTGTTGCTTTGAAGGCATTAGCCACGATCGCTGATATCACAGGATAAAGACGCCCTGCCGATCTATAAAAAGCTAATGCAACACGTTTTGCCAAAGTAAAAGCAACTCTAGATGTTTTATTGATGAAGATTATTTGATGGAGTGTAATATCTGTTGTAGGAGGAGGATGAATCATCATCTTAAAGTGGATCTGGAATCCTCAGGGAAGCAGCCTGGACTTGACAAGCTTCGTCACGTCAGCTGCAAATTGGCTTTAATTGGATCCTGCCGAAGTGACCTCACTCGAATTCTGATTGGTCAAACGCAGCGGCTGGATAAACAAATCGTTCCTTAGCAACCAATCAGCAAGTCACGGTGGTTCTATGTTTAACATAAATGCTATCCACCTTATTCCTACGCCCCATGACGCTTTGCACAAATTATGGGTGTAACTTCCGCTAAGCTGTAAACAATCAGTGAAAAGGCTCGCTCTATGAACGCAATACGTTAAAAAAGTGTCACAATGAGATGACCAACCATTCAGAAACGTCCTGTTCGAGCCTTAATTGTCGAACTCAACTTAATGGTCCGACTCCGGTTCAAACTGATATGGTTGCACAGATGTGTCCTCAGAGACTCCCGCTGCCATTCTTTCTCCAAAATATACCCTCAACTGTTGTCAAGGCAACACTCCATGTGTGTTGTGTCTCAACGCCCACAGAACAGAGGGGCGGAGTCAGCGAAGCTCATTATCATTTAAAGGCATATGCACTGAAACGGCGTGCTGAAAACAGAGCTGTTTTTGACCAGGTAAAATGAGTGTTTTCTTACAATACTAATGAGAATTTTTAATTAAAGTATATAACAAAGTTTTTTATTTAGACCCTAAAGAATCATATTAAAGGTGCAATGTGTAATATTTCTGAGGATCTATTGACAGAAATGCAATATAAGATCCATAACTATGTGTTCAGTGGTGTATAAAGACCTTACTCAATAAACCGTTATGTTTTTATTACCTTAGAATGAGACATTTATATCTACATAACCGCGGGCACCCCCTTCTATGAAGGTCGACATATTGTGACGTCATGTTTCTACAGTAGCCGACAGCGAACACACAGCGCTACAGAGCGTGTTTCGTCACTACCTTGAAAGAGAAGCAGCAGAAAGCTAGAAGAAGCTAGCCATAGACACCGTGAGTAGTGACTTTTCCCTTGTCAGTGGTGTAAAATATGTAGTTGGATTGTTACCAACCCGTCGATCGCGGTCGACAAGTCGATCTTGGAAGCATTTTAAGTCGATCGCGAAGAGTTTTCAAAAGCAGAGAAAAAATCAATATTTTTATTCATTATTATTTATTAATTTGTTTGTAGTAAATGGTGTCTAGGGGATGCGGAGGCATCCCCTAGACACCATGTCACAATCATGTCATTTTGCGCTCATGCGGACGCATCGAGTATAAACAAGGCTTTACGCTTTATCCAGCTCAGCCACAGTAACAGCTCATATTAGCCAGCTGAACTTTTACTACCCTGTTAGAAAACATATATAGAAACACAGTGTTAGAAACACATATATATAGAAAACATATATAGTTGCATAGTTTCATGTGGTTCTTCTCCCTCGCTGTATTATGGGTTTGCTGGGGAGAAAGGTGCTGGTTACGTTTGTGAGACAATCAGCTGATTACTATTATTATATTATATATTAAGACCCTTGATCCTCACCTGACTATGGTGTTGTAAACTGTATCCATGATGTAGTTTATAATGGACTGTGGTACAGAAACAGTGACAATGTTACACAATCGGCTTACTCTGGCTATTCTCTGCTGTCTCAGACGACGATATGTTTGTCCCGTTTTAGCCACCGTAGCTTCTTCGAAAGGGAGGGGTGAGCAGTGGGCTGAGCCCTTAGTGCAACTCGCAACCGAACCGCTAGATGCCGCTAACATCTACACACTGCACCTTTAACTTGTATAAAAATGGCATTATATAACCCCTTTAAAAAAGAGTCACAATGAGATGACATTAATCTACTAACCCTTCAACCATCGAACATTAAAAGGAAATTTAAAAGTGTAAAAGCATCAACAAGGTACTTTCAACAGACCAAATAACCACAAAAGCGTGAATCTTTCCACAGCAATAACAGATGGGTTAAATATCACTGTAGTAATATATCTGTATTATGTAACTTATGTTGCCTTAATAAAAAATGTTCATTAACATCACACTTCTTGCCGGAGTTCCACTTAACAAAATAGATTCCTTTACACACACACCACCCATGCTAGAAACGCTGGTTCAAATCCCGCCCGGAGTGGGGCGAGGAGAACCGGAGGGGTTACAGAGGCACAGTTACTATAACTGGGACAATTCACCTGGAGAAACCTGGTTCTGCATGCCATTGCTCGCTTCTTTCAGCAAACTTGTCAAATAACCAAGTTGCACCCTGTTGTTCATCTTTACGACAGACCCATGAACTCATAGCACAAACTCTGTGGTTGGGCGATTAGTCCTGCAGTTAAAGGCGTGTAACGCATTAGAGATAATGAGGTGGTCAGATATGATGTCATTGCTCCATCTGCTACACACCACAGAAACCACAGCTCGAGCTTACTGGAAAACCTTAGACTGCTGTCTGCTCCTCTCTGCACAGACACACTCAACTGCTGGAATGAGATTAGAGTGGATGAAGGATCGGTTGTAGAACATATAGTACATGCTGTCAGGTTCAGTGCAGCCAAAAATGAACAACTGGTCATCGTTTACTCAGCCTGATGTTTCTTTTCTTCCCTGGGACTTGCACTGGTCAAGTTTGAGCTATAGGGCCATTTGGCTCTTGCGTCATACTAATAGAAATACACTCTTAAGTATGTAGATTTCAATTACAATACATATCTTTAAATGTTTTGAGTTTTTTTCTCCACTTATATACACCAAAACTTACAGTTTTATTCCCATCTAGATTCTGAAGGTTTTTACTGAGGGGTTTGTTCATATTTCATTTGCCTGATATATTTAACATTTTATTCCTAAAAACATGGTGAAAACGTATTTTTTTTCCAAGCTGTTCCAAGCCAGTATTTTCTGATTTATGGAGTGATAAAAGAGAAATCTAAAATCCCCTAAGTAAAAACCTAAAGTAAAAACTACATGTCAACAACATCAATGTTCAGATTTATGCTCTGGAATTTTATGCAAAATAATGCATATTTAATTATATAATACATCATTTGCATTTTTAAACATAACATTTAAGAACACTTGCAATACACAATAATGTTTCCACTTCTTAATGTAATCAATCAACTGAGGAAGTATGGTGATACAGTATCTATTAGTTAATTATTTGTACCCTATTCACCTGGGGTGTCTTGTATTAAAATGACAATAAGCACCATAAAAGTATAATAAAATGTGCAAAAGACTTGGGCGCTATGTTTACTATTCTTCTGTAGCCACAGGGAAGCTTTGTATGATAAATTTGACAGATGGGTTTAGTTGTTTTTCCCTTTTGCTGTTGCTAATATTAGCTATTATTGAATATGATGAGATATGAGAGCTTTAGGAATAGTCTTTTGCATATTATTATAGTTTGAATGACTTTATTCACTTGCCCAGAAAGAACAGCTTGATTTGTGTTGAATGGAGAACAAAACATAGAGGTTTAAAAACAACATGAGGGAGATTGAAGGATGGATGGAAGTCAATGGTTTGACCACATTATTTGATGTATTTCTGCTGTATCCGACTGTCAGGGGACGAGACCGTCTTCACTAACTGTGTGTGTGAAAGCATTCAGTGTTGTTCCTTCTGTCTGCATGTATCAATCCGTTATTTCAGATAACCTGCCAGCAGATGTTACCGTTCACCATGATCTGGAGTGCTTTGAGAAGCACAGCGAGAGGGAGGAAACCAGTGATTGGGAACTGACGCACTCACCAGATATGAAGTTTGTTCCAGTGTCAGTCATCTCAAAAGGGCATAGCTTGTCTTTTCAAGGGCTTCTGGGAAACTGCAATAATGCCACCTGTAGCCATGACGAGAGAGAGAGAGAGAGAGAGAGAGAGAGAGAGAGAGAGAGAGAGAGAGAGAGAGAGAGAGAGAGAGAGAGAGAGAGAGAGAGAGAGAGAGAGAGAGAGAGAGAGAGAGAGAGAGAGAGAGAGAGAGAGAGAGAGAGAGAGAGAGAGAAAGAATACTTGTTTTATGATCCATAGAGAAATATATAAAAACAGAGAAATTCAGATTCCAACATCAACATGAGAGAAGAGAAGGGTCCTGTTAATTTTATATCTTTATACTATAATTGTCTCATTCGTGTCTATTTTTTATTTTTTACCAAGGTATTTTAACACAAATATCTATGGAAGCTTGTTTCCGCCACAGAATGAAAAATAAAAAAGGTAATTGCGACTTTTTTTCTCACAATTGCGAGTTTACATCTCGCAATTATGACTTTATTTATCAGAATTGCGTGATATAAAGTCGCAATTGCGTGTTATAAAGTCAGAATTGATTGATATAAAGTCGCAATTGCGTGTTATAAAGTCAGAATTGATTGATATAAAGTCGCAATTGCAGGTTATAAAGTCAGAATTGCGTGAAATAAAGTCGCAATTGCGTGTTCTAAAGTCAGAATTGCAAGATATAAAGTCAGAATCGATTGATATAAAGTCGCAATTGCGTGTTGTAAAGTCAGAATTGTGAGATATAAACTATTCTGAGGGGAAAAAAGTTAGTCTTTTTTTCCCTTAGAACTGGCCTGATAACTCGCAATTGCAAGTTTATATCTCACAATTCTGAAAAAAGATTTTGAGATATAAACTCGCAATTATGTGTTATAAAGTCAGAATTGCGAGATAAAAAGTCTTAATTCTGTCTTTTTTCTCTCAATTACGATCTTTATTTCTCATAATTGCGACTTTATATCTCGCAATTGTGACTTTATTTTTCATAATTGCGACTTTATATCTCGCAATTGCGACTTCATTTCTCATAATTGCGACTTTATATCTTGCAATTGCGACTTTATTTCTCAGAATTGCGACTTTATATCTTGCAATTGCGACTTTATTTCTCATAATTGCGACTTTATATCTCGCAATTGCGACTTTATTTCTCAGAATTGCGACTTTATGTCTCGCAATTGCGACTTTATTTCTCACAATTTTTACTTCATACCTCGCAATTGTGAGATAAAAAGTCGCAATTATTTTTTAAAGATTTTTTATTCAGTTGCGGAAACAAGCTTCCATAAATATCTGAGAGCAGGTCACTGAAACATAAGTGGACACTGAAAGAGCAGTAGACATCAGCAGTAATTATTAAGCAGTCGTGTTGTGACACATCACTGACTATATTATGAGCTTTTCCACACATTCATCATTCTGAAGTGTTTATATAACAACTAAAAATAATGCTAAGTGCAATAACTGGATCTCCAGAGAAACAGGCATCTCAACTCTATTCATATTTCATCAGCACAGAAGAGACCAAAGAGAATATCATGAAAAATTAACACCATTATGACAGTGAGTTTGAACCCACTGCTTGTGTTCAGAAACACATCTTCATGGATTATTGTGTTTGTGAAGTCAAATACTAATAGTTTATACAATTAGCGATAATTTTGACTCGGTCCAGTAAACAAACACCCACATCACGCTAAACTCCACTCACTTTTCCTTCAGAAAGATCTAGTTATTATTCAAATCGTGACTGATTCGTCTCAGCGGCACAGTGAGAATCAATAACTGTTTTCTGATAGTGATCATGTCCTTCAGATGCGCTCGAGCGCAAGACACCTGACAGAAAATCTCACAGCAATTTCTATGCAACAAGAGGAAAACTCTTAAATTCAAGGTTGTTCTCAGTATCTCTCAGATTTTACAGATACAAGATCTCATGCTGCCCATATGCTGCATTTCTAAGCAACATTCACGCACATTTGAAACAATTTTATCGTCTTCTAGGATACCCGAATCTACGGCAGCAATAATATACCTTTCAAGAAGAAGACAATCCCAGAATGCATAGCAATAAAATGCATACTAAGCTATTTGAAGCAACAACAACAAAAAAATGTAATATATATATATATATATATTGTGTGTGTGTGTTTGTGTTTGAAATTCTCTTCTGCTCACCAAGGCTGAATTTATATGATAAAAATACAGTAAAAACACAAATATTGTGAAATATTTGGAAACATTTAAATAGCTGTTTTCTGTGATTATATAGTAAAATGTCATTTTTTTCCCTGTGATCAAAGCTGTATTTTCAGCATCATTACTCCAGTCTTCAGTGTCACATGATCCTTCAGAAATCATTCTAATATGATGATTTGATGCTCAAGAAACATTTCTGATTATTATCAGTGTTGAAAACAGTTAGTCGCAGACTCGCACTACAGGATCTAATAGAGAGCATATCATGAGCTTGGCTAATAGTGCATTGTTCCATCAGATGGTCCCTTAGAAGACAGCAGCCCGTGTCTCGCGTAATGCTTTGCAGTGACCGTGTTTTGTCCAAACGGCTTCTCTTTCTCTATTTTCTCCTCTGACACTCATTTGTAATTCAGTACATATGCTGAAGGCATCCATTCTTCCACCCCATGCAAAATGCATAAGTGTGGTTCTTCTCAAGTGATATGTTTAGTGTATTTACGCTCGACGCTGAATGTGTCGGAATCACTCATTCCGAGTCTTAATAACAGACCCTGCCGAAGAATGAGACGCTCGGAGACACAGGGGATCTGATTCTACACAGGCCGAGTGCTGAATGTGTCTTTAGATGGGTGGATCTTCTCTCGCAGGGCGAAAGTTCAGATTCTTGATCAGATCAGTGTGTGGCAGCATCACGTCTGCAATATAGACTATAAAGTATCTTTACGAAATAATGACAGATGGAGGACACTTAAAGTCAGCATGAAGTCAAATAGAATGTTAGTTATTCATAGATGTTATTAAAAAAACATTTATTTACACCGTTCAAAAGTTTGTGGTATGTATGATTAAAAAACAATACTTTCACTCATCAAAGATGCATTAAATTAATAAAATTGACATTTACCCAGGTGAACACAAAACATTATACTCACTTATCATGTAGCCATCCCGGACGAGCCCCCAATTTTATGTTACGTCCCGCTCATTTAAGGCCGCAAAATAAAAGGGGAATCAAACACCAACGTTTGATAAATGAAGAAGGTTTTATTTTCTTCAGCAAGTATAACAATTACCACTCATACCAACATAAGTCTAGGGAAAATAAAGAATTAACCAAACAAAATAACTACAACAAAATATTAACGCTACATGACATAAGGTAAGTATAAGAAAGAAAATAAGAGAAGAGCCACTCTTGTGAGGAGTTATCCCACAGAAAGTGCCTCCCAAAAGAACACTTAAATACTAGATTACATGATTAACAATTAACATGGGGGAGTGACTCAAAACTCCCACAGACTGCCACCATCAGGGAAGGAGTACACTCAGGGTCGTCACAATAATGTTACAAAAGATTATATTCTCTGTGCAAGCTGAATTTCAATTTGATTGACTCGAAAACTTCTTTGCTCTGAACTTGTGAGGCTGCCAAATGTAAATGCTAATATCACTCTCTTACTGACTGTATGATCAATCTGTGTAGTGTCAGAAACACACACACACCCCTCTGGGACACTGAGATAACATGCAGTCAAACAGAACAAGCCACTGTTTTCTCTGTAAATGCTGTTGCTGTGATGATCAAAGTGAGCTCTTCATTCTCTCCTGTGCTGTTTGTGCTTTTCTCCTCCTCAAACACATCGCTCTCTATTCCTCTCTTCATCACTTCAAGCCACCACATTATTCTCTCTTATCCAGCTCTCATAATGAGGGCCAAATCTCCCCTCGTGTTTGGGGTTTTAAAATCTCCCCAGAGCTGCACTTTACAGTCAGGACGCTTTCAAATCCCCTTCTGCAGGATTAGGGTAAGGATCCCTGTGATCTGGAAAGTAAAAATGAAAACGTGACCTTCCATACTGAAATGTGAAGATACAGCTGCGAGCAGCAATTACGGGGCCGTCGGCGGAGTCTCTGCAACCCTGGCACAATCGTAAGCTTCAGACGCCAGCAGAAATATGATTTTAGGATAATCGCTTCAAAGGTTAGGAGCAGATTTAACTTTTGACCAGCACAGCTCATCGGGACCCTCAGGGTCGACTTCAAAGCAAAGCCCAAAAAACACAGACAAGATGCAGATGACCTGTTTGCCATCTTTGTGTGTAAGGGCAATGGGCTTCACTGCACTCAGGATGAACAAATGGATCTAAATAGAGCAGAAGCATGACATTAAATCCTTTTTACAGTTTATCCACCACTAGGTGCTACTGAACTTTTCATTCCAGCCTGAATTTCAGCAAGATGTTCAGTAAGAAGTCTCTTCTGCTCACCAAGGCTACATTTATTTGAATGTCATAATCGTCATAATTGCATCTTTAACGGTCCGCTTCGTCGCTTAAGTGCATCCTGTCACCGTTTAAACTGCCCTGTCAATCATCTTGTCAGTTAAAACCCTCCACATTCAGTTTCATTTAATTTCCTACCATATCAGAAATAAATGTGGAGATATGCGGAGACTCTCACGTGTTTGCATAATTATGCATTCAAAAGTTAATGTCCAAACAGACCTTTATAAAAGTTCACAATCATTGTGCAGATAAAAATGAATGTGGATAACATTGAATAAATATATTTTCGTCAGGTTTGATGCGGATTATTAATCACTCAAACCCCTTTTCTTCTTAACCTTCGGTCTCACACATGTGCCATGTTTGTAGTTTCTTAACACGGTTCATTTGTTTGTAGATCTAATCGAATCCTTGTCCAGTGCACAATGGGCTGTGGGCAATATTAGCCGTTATGGATCTGCACTTCGGATTCTAACCGGAAACAGAAGACCATCCGGGTATCTTTTGAAAACTCGTTTCAACATACTACGATTTGGGACACACTCATTCTAATATTTAGGAGAGATAATATGCAAATT